ACCACGTCGTCATCGCTGTCGTTGCCGAGGCGGAGGGTATCCTGCGACATGTTGGGTTGTGGTAACTCGGCATCAGGTGATCGGCGCGCCTCACTGTTGTAGTCATGAGCCGCGCGAGTTGTATCGTTAGGATCGGGTTGGTGTAGAGGTACGAATATCGGAGTCCCGAATTGGCTTGTGAGGGGGATGCTCGGAGCGGAGTCCATTGGGGTGACATCAGGTGCGTCTGCATCCTCGGCCAGGTCAGCTTCGTCGTGTGACGTGGCGAAGCTGCGGTGGCCCTCGAAGAGCCTCTCGGGAAGTTTGTCGGCTTCCTGGTGCTCCTTAAAAAGGGGCAGAGTCAGCTTCTCGTAGAAGATGCAGTCACGTGATTTCGTCACCTCGTGTGTCGCGTAGTCCAGCACGATCCACGCCTTGAATTCCTTCTCGATCCCGAGGTGGATGCCCCATCGTGCCCGGTCAGCAAATTTTCCGGTTCTCGCAGTGTGGGGTCTGTACTGTACCATGCAGCCAAACACCCGAAGCAGGCGTGTATCTGCTTTTCTGCCCGTCCATGCCCGGTAGGGAGAGTTGTTGTTCTCGAGGCTTCGCGAGGACAGCAAGTTGTGCAGCCGAACAGCGTGATTCATCGCAAACGGCCAATATTTTGTTGGGATGGCCGGCTGCTTCATCAGAGCCCTCATCCGCGTGGCGAGGCTTCTATTTGTCCGTTCTGCTACTCCTTGCTGTTGGTGAGCGTAGGGCAGGGACACCAGGTGCTCAATCCCCTTCTGCTTGAGGAGCTCCTTGAACTCGTCTGAGAAGAACTCCAGGGCTCCGTCCGTCTGCCAGGTTTTGAGTTTGAGACCGGACTGTCGCTCAGCCCGCTTCATCCACGCAATGAAGCACTCGAAGGCCAGAGACCTGCTGTCGGTGTTGACGGCCCAGACGTAGCGAGTAGATGCGTCGATGAAGGTAAGTGTGTACTGCTCCCCGTCGAGCCCCTCCTGGCTGAGCACCATAAAGTCGCTGTAAACCTTGTCCAGCGGCTTGTAGCGTTCATACCCTGGGGGCAAATCGGGGAACGGCTGGTGATTGAGCGACGCGGTTGGGCAGACGATGCATGGCGGGTTAGGTGAGTCCGCGGTGAGGGAACCGTTTCGAGGAAGGAGGAGCGCGTCGTTGTCGAAGACTCCGGCCTTGAGCGAGTTTTTGAGCGTGGCGTGGGAGGGATGGCCGAGCCGTTGGTGCCATGTTTCTGGGTCTGCACGGTAACCGACTGTCTTTTGATAATATTTTTGTCACGCTGCTTTGTCGTTTGCCTCCCCTTCAGGTCCTGCGTCGGTGGCGGAGTCGGTGTCGGCGGCGAGCGCGCGAATTGCTTTTCGCTCCAGAAGCACGCGGGGAATGTCGATGATGTCGTCGGTGTCGCCGGCTTCGACTTGGTCTCCGGTAACGAGCAGGCATTGGTTGGGCCATTCCCGAACTGGGAGTCCCTTCACGGGGATTCTGAAGTAACTGTATTCCGATGACCTCAATTTCTTGTGGTCCTTGTACTGGCGGCTCCGGCTCCTCGGTAGGTTCGGGTAACTCTGTTGGTTCTCCCATAAATTCGTAGGCTTCTTCTTCTTCTGACTCTTCTGTCATTTGCTCGGGTGTGTCAGGGGCGTATTGATCTGGGAGAGGTGGACCTCCCCAGCAGGTGCCGCGAGTTGCCCAGTATGGGTCGACGACGGCAACTTCCGCAGGAGGGAAACCAGCTGCTTCCGCGTGCCCTTGTTCTGCTTCGGCCGTGGTGTCCCATCCTCCTCTGGCGCCCCATGTGTCTTCAGCGGTCTCTGCTTCTCCAACTGCTTCTCCTGCTATTACGCCAACTTCCTCTGCTGGAGCTGCGCCCCACCCACTTGCGGCTGCTTCTTCTGGAGTTAGTACTTCTCCCCAGGATCCGAGCGCGGGCTCGGAAGTGTTCCAGCCCGGCCAGTGTGTCTCCGCTGTCTTGTTTTCCTCGGTTGGTTGAGTTGCAGGTCCTGACGTGCCGCTGTCTTCTTCCATTGTGGCAGGTCCGGTTTCTGCAGGGTTGGAGGTCGAGGCAGTCGGGACAGTGCGCAAGCGTAGAAGGCCGTCGGAAGCTGGTCGCTCGAGGTCCATCTCGTCGGGATGTGACCATGTTGGTGGCTCCGTGGGAGTTGTTTTCAGTAGCAGTGTGCGGTGGAAGTCGCCGGTGGTGCCCTGAGCCGAAAATTGCAGCACGAAGACTCCATCATCATCGATCGCCTTTCCGATGTAAGTTTCGTTGTGGAAGAGCTCGAAGGTCTTTTCCTTCCGATTGCTGCGAATGTCGATTCCGCACCGCATGAGTTGAGCTGATGAGAGTAAGTTGTATTGTAGGTCAGGGGCGACGAGAACGTCCCCGATGTGAATGGTGAACTTCGTGTCATCGGCCTCGAGGTAGATTTCGCCAATCTCATATGCCTTCATTTTTCCGTTGTTGGCGGCGGTGATTTTGCAGGGTCGTCGCATGCGTCGAGAGTTGCTGATGAACTTTGGCGATCCCACCATGTGTTGTCCGCAGCAACTGTCGAGGTACCACGTGTCCAGATCCTCGTAGCGCTGGCGGGCGAGGTTGGCAATCTTGGGTGTGACGATGCGATCAAGGTCGCCGGTGTACGGTGAGAGGGCGAAATATCTGTTTGCGGAAATGCTCGGCGGCGATTCCGGAGTAGGGGGAGGGAGCTCGAAGTCAGGAGGAATGTCTGAGGGGCGAGAGGACCAGGTAAAAACTGTTGGGTCATTGTCTGGACTGGGCGCAACGGGGTTGATGGGATTGTCGCGAGTGAATGTTACTCGATCCGAGTAACGGGACCCTATGTTGCGTCGAGCCATGCAGCTTATGATTGTCCCTTTTACTTTGTCCTTCGCCGTGATGAGTGCAGGGGATTGTGAAGTGCTGGCGACGGAAGGAGGCGACACAGTGGCGGAGGGCTTTGTCTGCGTCGATGGTTGTTGGTTGGAGGCGTTGCGCCGCTCGTCAGCGGCCTGACGCTTGTAGCACTGGTCGATAGAGTGGCCAGACTTCTTGCAGTATTTGCAGAAAGCTCCCTTCTTTCCGCGTTGTTCCCCTTGTGACACTCCTGTGTAGAAGACTAATTTCTCCCGTTTAACATTCTTCTCGTTGTACAGGTCGATTTCCTTCTGCTCCGAAAGAAGCGTGGCGCACAGAGCTGACTCTGATATGGTTGCTCGGGCGCGAAGGAGTGACTGGCATTGTCGCCAGTCGGGGCCGAGGCCAGAGATGACCATCGAGATGAACATGTCGTCGGGGACAGTCCCACCGGATTTCTTGACTTGGTCACGCAGATTGCGGCACCGGTTGACATACGGTCCCGCTTTCTCCCCTTTCTTCATTTTAACCGAAGTCAGTTGGCTGAGTAGACGGCTCATCGTAACTGGATATGTTGCCATGTATGAGTTGCGCAGGTGTTCCCAGGAGGCTTGCGCGGGAGCCCACTCCGTCTTATAAGGGCGAATGCCGAGCTGCTCTTCAGGTGAGAGATTGCGAAGGAGAGTGGTGTACGCGAGGAGGGATTCGTGGTAGTATTGATGCTTCTCCTGGATGGTACCTTCCGAGGGAAAAGGTAGGCTTCCGTCGTAGTACATCCAGATTTGAGCGGTTGTCGCGAGAAGCTCAAATTCGAAAATCCACGTGTACAAATTTGGTTTGCATTGAAGCAATGTCTGACTGTGAGCGCTGTGGGTTGTCTTGTGCAGGAGCTGACCCTTGACGATTGTCGAAGGTGAAGGATCTCTCGGAGTTGACGCGGCGGTCTTCTCTAGGGAGAGGAAGTCCAGCAACGCCACGTGCATAGCTTGAGCCGTCAACGCTCATTGCTTGATGGCTTTCAAGGGCGTTGATGCGTGCGACTAGCTCCTCAACGACAGCGGCGCTGACGGAGGTCACCGCTGATGGCGCGTTAGTCGTTGCTGGTGGTGGGCCCGGTGAGTCTGCAGTAGCTTTTCCTTCAGGAGCCATAGTATTGCAGACTTTGAGGTGTAATAAATAACTTTATAAAGGGATTGTTCTGAGAAGAACGAGGACTTGACAGATCCTATAATCCACTCTAGCTCTCATACCATGCTGATATAACCAAGGATCCAGTAGATAGGATAGAATCTGTTAAGTCTGAGAGGAGACAATGAAGTCTCTGTAGTGACCTTGTTGAATAATAATTGAAAGAGAACAAGATAATTGAAAGATAGGAGTACAAGAGATTAAATAGAAATCTAGCTAGCCATGTACTCTGAGGGGTACATTCCCTTATTAACTGTATTGCATAGCTACAGTAACCCTGACTATTGCTATCCTCGACAGTTACCATGTTGCAGTGAATTAACTGTCGTGCGGTTACTGGATCGTCAAGGGTCACGACCGTTGACTTCCTCAGACGGTTGACCTTCGGGTGACCCTCGACATTCCGCATGCTCTATATGAGCTATTGCGGTACTGGTACAATGGAACAGCTCCGGGAATGCTTTATATAACCTTTCGGTTATTCCAACACAACCTTATACCATTACACATGAAAACATAGAACTTCACGACAACGATTTTTGTTTTGTGCTTTTTTTATTACCCTTTTTTAGCCATTATGTTAGAGTCTTCAACTCAAAGGAGATTGAGGAAAAACAGGAGATAAGATAGAGGAGGTAAATTAGATAGAGTAGGTAGAGGAGATAGAAGAGGCAGTAGAAAGCAAAAGAAATTATTACCTTTGTGGCCCATTCACCTCCCCACCCCCTCTTACCATCTCCCTTTCCCCCTTTCCCCTCCCTGCAACCCCTCCTCATGCCGCCCCACAGACAACATCCAGCCCATAATGCTGAGCCTCCAGTTTGGGGTCAACTTTGGGCCACACAACGTGCCGATTCTGAGCGTGCGGGTGTTCCGCACAGACTCTTAAGGCACCTCAGAAGTCGTCCTCTCCTTCCTCTCCCCCCCCCACCCACACAGCATCCAGCCCATAATGCTGGACCTTCAGTTTGAAATCAACATAGGGCCGCTGAACGTGGCGATTCTGAGAGAGAGGCACAACATGAGCGTGCGGGAGTTTCAAGCAACGGAGCCCACGAGCAGCCTGGAGAGCGAGGATGCACGCAGTGCCACTCTCATCGTGCGAAAAGCGCGGTTCGCCTTTGAGATGTGCTCTGAACGCAGGGATGAGGTGGATGGAGGGGGGTGGGATGGGTGGGAGGGGATGGGGTGGTTTGGACGGGATGGGGCGGTTTGGAGGGGATGGGGTGGTTTGGAGGGGATGGGGCGGATAGCATTGCAAGGCATGGTGAGTTCTGCTCGTCTGTTATATCTGGTTTTCCTTTCAAGGCGCCTGAAAAATTGATCCCTCTATGGCGACTGGTTTTACTTTCAAGGCGCCTGAAAAGTAGATTCCTCTGTGGTGTCTGCAGTGTGATCACAACCAGATAAAGCACCATGTGTGTGTACCTATGGCAACTGGAAGAGGCCACTCCCCTTCCCATCCCATACCTCTTACCCCCCCATTATTCCCCCCCGCTTTCACCCACCCAGAGGCGTCTGAAGCGTGATTACAATCTGGCCAATCGCCCCTCCCCATGCGTAATTACAATCTGGTCAAGCGCCCCGTGTACCTGTGGGCCGTGGCGGGTGGCAGAGGCCATACCCTTTCCCATGCCTCTTTACCCCCCCAATTATCCCCCGTTCCCACCCACCCAGAGGCGTCTGAAGCATGATTACAACCTGGTCAAGCGCCCCGTGTACCTGTGGCGGCTGGCAGAGGCGATTCGGCGGAGCATGGGTTGGGATTATGACGTCGTGCATGTGCGGCGAGGAGACAAGCTCAACCCCCGCTTCTGACCGCACCTCGACCAGGATACCCGCCCTGATGCGTACGTGAAGCATCAGGGGAGGGGAGGAAGGGGGCGGGAGACGGGGTGAGAGGGGATCATGGGGGAGGGGGCGGAGAGGGGAGAGAGGGGAGTAAATGGGGGTGGGTACTTAGAAAGGGTGGGAATATGGTGCTGCTATTGGAAAGTGTTTGCTTGGTGCTGCACTGTACTTCAAACTCACCGCGATTTCTCGGGGGGGACTCAATTCATAAGCATATCAGCATGGCAATAGTGTTGTTGTATGTATGAATATTTTCCTCCCTCCCTCCCTCCGTCTCTCCCCTCCCTCCCTCCCTCTCTCCCTCCCTCCCTCCCTCCCTCCCTCCTCCCTCTTTGCCTCCCTCCTTTCTTACACCCAAGCGTTTCCCTTCCTCCCTCCACCCATCCCCCGTCCTCTCCCTCTCACACTCTCTCTCCCAAACTCCTTCTCCCCCTCCTTCCACCCTCTTTCCTCCTGCCCAGCCTCCTAAAGACTCTTTCCAAGTTGATAAAGCCGGGGCGCCACGTGTACATAGCGTCGAACGAGCGCACGCCGGGCTTCTTCAGCCCACTCGCCTCGCTCTACAAGATCCACGTGCTCTCCAACTACCGCCACCTCTGGGCGCCCGGCAGTGACTGGTACAACGACTGCCAGACGCTGATTGAGAGACACGGGATGAGGCTGGGAGAGATAGGACCTGTGTTTGACGCTCAGATGCAGGTGGGTGGTGGGCTGGGCATGGGTGGGAGGTGGCAGACGGGGGTTGTGTGGGAGTGGGATGGTCGGTGGGGGAAGGAGGGTTACAACATGTTACGGATACAGGTACACTGCAAAATGGAGTGTTTTGTTCCAACTCATCCCTACCGCATGTTATTGTATGGCTACAACAAGTTCAGTTACTCGCACGAATGCTAAAACAGGTTTTGACATCACGTGCTGCTGACCACATTGTATGTGTGTCCATGTGTGTGTGTGTGTGTGCGCGCGCGCGCGTGCGTGCGTGCATGTGTGTGTGTGTGCGTGCATGCGTGCGTGCATGTGTGTGTGTGTGTGTGTGTGTGTGTGTGTATGTGTGTGTGTGTGTGTGTGTGTGTGTGTGTGTGTGTGTGTGTGTGTGTGTGTGTGTGTGTGTGTGTGTGTGTGTGTGTGTGTGTGTGCGCGTGTGTGTGCGTGCATTGTGCTTGCTTCTCCGTGTCTTTTATGGACTACATGTTGTAGTGGATTGTGGATGAGCTTCTAATGAAGCAGGGGATGAAACGAGTGGAGACGTTTCCTGACCTCACTAGTGATCTCAAAGATGGAATAGCAAGATAGGTCACACACAGTAGGGATGCTATGTTATACCATGTTTGCCCGCATAATGGACCCGGAGGTTTACTGCAAGCATTTCGGGAATTCCGAGCATCCGAAGGTGGTTCGAGCTCAGTCGCAGGGAGGTCGCTCTACGATTTTCACCCAGACGTGAACCGTTACTGGCCTGTTTACCCTCCTCTAGAACAAGGCCGTTCTAAAGTTTGGTTTCCTTCTCATCCGATCTCATCTCATCCCATCTATTACGAGTGCAATGAATCGAGGTAGCGAGGATTGCACTAAGGGCATATCTCTGGTTCCGGTCACTTGCACTGTTCATTCAACTGTTCGGGTCATGCGTAAAATGCGCATGACCCGAAGTGGGCTGCCGAGCCGCGCGCGGCCCCAGCTTTGGGTCAATGTGCAGGTGTTGGGCGACTGACGTGCACGACCCTCCCCCAACCAATCACCTGGTTGCATGATTCACATCAGACTGCCATCTTTTTGGCCGTCGTCAGTCGAGTGCCACAATTTTGCAACATCTGCATCCAACCACTCGGCAAATTGATCCCAGTGACCCCCGAATGTGTCTTGAATTTCCCGCGTCGCGCTCCCAACATTTGGGGATTCATGCCGACATTTTTGACGATTTTGTTTTTAGATGGGTGTCGCATGGTTTTGCGTGGGTGTAGCAAATGATCTTTCGAACTGTTCTGGCATCCCTCCATTGGATGCGACTGTTGTTTGAGGCGTAATATTGGCGCGAAAAAGCCTCGCGCCAATTTGGAGGTCGCATGAGTACAAGTGACCCAAAGTGGTGTTTTGTGTTGTTCCGGGCATCCGCAATTCGCGCATGCCCGGAACAGTGCAAGTGACCGGAACCAGAGATACGCCCTAAGTGTCAAACGAGTACAAAATGTGAGCGAAGACATGAGAGAACATTTATACGCGAAACATGCAAATGGTAACGCGGTGCGTGCGAGCTAGCTAGTGCTACGCTGGCAGTGAGGTTCGGGCTAGTCCCGAAGCGTAGGCCGACACGGCGGGGCCAGCAGTGCGAGGTTTGGTGGAACAGTGCGCGCTAAGTCAGCGAAGCCCCGTCAGCAGTAACGGGCGAACAACGGCTGCTGCTGTACGCGATGTTGCGGGATGCGCTAAGGAATGTTGAGAAAATTCCTTACACTACCCCCCCCTCAAGAAGCCCCCTCCGCTACGCGAGTGCGTGTATATCACGGAAACCCCGGCTCCTCAGGTACACTTGCAGGGCAGGGTGGTTTTCGATGTTGGCCAGGGGTACCTAGCTATCTTCAGTTGGCGTGCGGTCCTTCCAGCGAACGAGGAATTCAATCCTCCTGATTCCCGTGGGGTGTCAAATCCGATGGCTCGGGATTTTTTCGGGCTCCATGATCGGCTCCGATGCAGGGCGAGTCATGGATGGCGGGCGGTGACGAGGCAGTTGGCTTGTGGTTGGGATGTAAGGTCGAAGTGTGAAAATTAGAACGAGGATGAATGACTAAGGAATGAGTGTGATACAAATATGAAACCCTAGAATTGTGTACCCCTTAGTATCTAACCCGCTACAGCCTACACAGGCTAGATCATATAAGTCTGACACACCCCCATAGGCAAAGTGGGGGAGAACAAGGGGTCACAAGACCAGTCAAGCAAAGCAAAGCAAAGCAAGCTCAGGGTGGATCACGACGTCACCACACATTCCGAGCACAAGTTCAAGGCCACAAGGCCAGTTCACATGCAAGATCATATATAAAGGTAAACAAGCAAGTGCAGGTATAGATAGATCACTGTACAAGCAAGGTCAAGAAGTGAGCAAGTGAGGCAAAGTAGGCACAAGACCTAACAGAGTACAGAAGCGCTGATGTTCACAAGGCGCGAGTGCCTTGGTGAAGATATCAGCAGTGTTGGCCTGAGAGGCCACGTAAGAAAGTCGCAGCTGACCACGCTGCTGCAGCTCACGAGAAAGAAAGTAGCGGAGAGCAATGTGCTTCGTTCTGTGCTCCAGTCTGTGCTCCCGACACAAGGCCAGCATGGCCTTGTTGTCTACGTACAGAACTGGAGGAGAACGAGGCGGCTCTCCAAGGTCAGTCAGCAGGTAGGTGAGCCAGCGTAACTCCTGTGCAGCCATGGCCCCTGCGTAGATCTCAGCCTCACAACTGGAGCTGAGAACGGAAGACGAGCGGGTAGACCGCCACGAAACAGAACCGGAACCAAGGCTGAAGGTGTAACCCTGTGACGACCGCTGCGTAGCCAAGTCGTCAACCCAAGAAGCGTCTGCGTGACCAGTGAGGACCACTGGACTCCGCCCTCCAAGCACGAGCCCCATGCCCGACGTACTGCACAAGTAGCGCAACACCCTCTTCACTGCAGCCATGTGCTCTGGTCGGTGTCTCCCAGGAGCAACATAGCGTGCCAAGATGCTAAGAGGGTATGCAAGGTCAGGTCGAGTGCAGGTCATCAGGTACATGAGGCAGCCAACAAGCTCTGGGTACGGGCCACTCGGCTCTACGGACTCATCCGAAGGCAGAGCTGAGAGCGAGTGGCAAGTAGACAGAGGAGTGGCCTGAGGCGAGGAGTACGTGAAGCCGAAGCGCTGAAGGACCTGCTGCACCATGTGTGACTGAGTCAGGGTAATGGTGCGCTGTGCTCCGTCGCGAGTGATATGCAAGCCAAGATAGCTGCGCAGTTCACCCAGGTCAGTACACGTGTGTCTCTTCTGCAGCTCGGACTTCACGTGGGCGAGTCCAGCAGTGTCAGCTGTGGCAAAGACCAAGTCGTCGACGTACACGAGGATGTAGAACGGCGGCAAAGAGGTGTCGGTGCGCAGAAACAGCGACGGGTCGGCAGTAGAAGGAGCAAACCCAAGAGCCGCAAGTGTAGTCCTCAGTGTGTCGTGCCACTCACGGGGCGCCTGGCGGAGACCGTAGACTGGCCGCCGGAGGCTCCACTGGGTACCAGGAGGAAACGACCCAGTGAAGCCAGGTGGGCGGCGCAGCCAGATCTCCTCGTGCAGGCTGCCCTGCAGGAAAGCAGTGCTGAAGTCAAGAGAGTGAAGCTCGTAGTCGCGCTGAGCGGCTATGTGCAGCAGCACCCGAAGAGTGGTCATCTTCGGGGTGGAAGAGAAGGTCTGAAAGTAGTCAACTCCCTGCCGCTGACTGAAGCCTCGAGCCACGTAACGCGCCTTGAAGACAGGCGGAGAACCCGGCGGCCGCTTCACCCTGAAAATCCACATGCCACTGACGATGTTCGCCCCAGGTGGGGGAACCTCGTCGACGTAGGTGCCTGTGGACTTCCAGGAAGCAATCTCTGCGTCCATGGCTGCCTGCCACTGAGAGGAGTAGGGACCCTCTATCGCCTCTGCGTAAGAGCGCGGAGTCGGGATGTCTGGTGCATCCGGGTCTCCCTCAGGGGCAAGCAGCGTGGACACGAGATGAGGTGAAGCAGCAGCAAAACACTGGAACTCCTCCTGCCTGTCCTCAAGGACGTCCGTGCCAAGGGCACACTCACCCCCGACGGACGGAGGACAGACAGACGCAGACTCACCAACAAGACTAGCAGCGTAGTCTAGATGACAGCGAGCAGCGAAGTCGACAAGCTCAGCAACTAAGGCAGACGCAGCAGTGGACTCAAAGGAAGGGTCAGTGACGACAGTAGCAAGGAGACGCGTGACAGTAGGACTGGCA